GGGCAGTTCTTGTTTCCACTTTACCCATCCTAGCCTCAGTTTTACTTGGGGCCCTAACACCAGAGAGAATCCAGGCTAGGACTTTAGGAGGCTAGGTCTGAGGCCCAGCATGGTCCCTCAGGTGGTGTCACGCTGGGTAAGGTATTTCCCCTATCCAAGCCTCAGCCCCCTTGCCTGGAAAGTGGGGATGATCATTCCTGCTGCCTCCTTCTGTGGGCTGCTACGAGGATGAGGGATGGTCCTTTGGAAAGGGCTGCTCTTCCCTGCTACCTGTGAAGTGGAGGCTCTTCATTCCCTGATCCTTCTACAACTCTGGAGAAGCAGCATGCTCTTCCCTGAGCTCGTCTGGCACAGGTCACATCCTGCCCTAGGACTCTGTTAATATCCTTGTTTGTTTCCCCACCTAATGGTAATCTTGACCATGGGAACCAAGTCTGCCTGGCACAGAGGGGATGTCAGTGGATGAGTGATGGATGGAACTGGACTGGTGAATTCAAAGCCGCTGACCAGCCCCTGCCTCCAGGCCTCCCTGGCTCCCCTTCACGCATTCTGTCTGCACAGGGTTCCTGCACTCATCCCATGTCTACTGTTACTAGCCGAGAGTCTTTGCTTGGACGGAATCCCTACCTCAAATATCCTCCCTACTCCTCTTCACTTGTGTTAAACCACCTCGTTGTGTAGCCAGGATTAATCCCACTTCTTCCAAGGAGTCTGCCCTGTACACAACATCTGTAGCTTCCTGACCGCTTTTCTGCTCCTTAGAAGCCCTCTGGTACCATCCACAGAGACCCTGAATGAAGCTGAGCATCCTGGGAGTCTTGTCCGCCTCTCTCTGCCCTCTCTCTCCCTGCTGCGATCACAAGCATGAGGCCCCAACACACAATGCTCTAGGTGGGGCCACACAGTAGGTATTCAGAAAGGACAGGTTCTACTGAATGTCATCTCTAAGTCTGTCCAGCTGCCTTCCTATCTATGTTCTCTCTCCTCCCTCAGACTGACCCAGGAGACACCTAGGATAGGGTCTGTCCCACCCCCATGAGACTAGGTTCCCCTAGAGTGACAGCTGTCTGCAATTAGAATGAGATCCCCCTCAGGATGGAATTCTGCAGCTCCCCACCAGAATGGAGGTTTCCTGAGAACATCTTTCTGTTGTTTCCCTCTTCCCAGAACACCCACCACAGGCCCGACCACGCCCCGGTGGAGGACAGATACGGGACACCAAGGGCAGGGGAAGGGAGCAGAAACCAACCTTAAACTCAGGCTCCTTGTGGGCAAGGCGCCTGAGCTCGCAGCTGAGCTGGAAGGCAGCCAGCATGGCGTCCTCACTGGCCAGTGAGAGGTGGGCGCAGCTGGCAATGCCATGACAGGTGTTGATGCGGGACAGGGAGAACTGGAGCAGATCACAGCAGCATGTGTTGCTGCACTCGAGGCAGGCACAGGAGACAGGGTGGGGCCGGGCGATGCTGTGGCCCTGGTCCATGAGCAGCTGGGCAATCTCATACAGGTCCTTCTGGCAGGCCAGGGTGAGGGAGGTGACACCAGGGGCAAAGCGGGGGCCATCGACTGATGAGTCAAAGAAGGCCAGTGAGAAAGACCTGGTGTCCACCTTGCGGCCCTTCTCCCATTCCAGCCAGGCCAGCAGGCGACGCACCACTGCCGGCTGGTTTGTGTCCACAGCCACCAGCAGGGCCTCGTGGATCTGCCGGAAGTCGAACTTGACACTGGCCAACAGCACATCACTGATGGCCTCGTGGCCCAGGCGGATGGCCAGATTGAGCGCCTCCCTCCAGGAGTGGTCCTCAGCCTCCTCCACATTCTGCAGGGGCCCGCCTGGCCCGCCGTCTGTGGTCTCAACCGCAACTCCAGCAGCTGCTACACCAGGTCCAATGGCACCCAGCAGCGGAGGCGGGAACTTCAGCTTTCTGTTCACGATCTCGGTCCACTTAGGCTGAGGTTGGATGAAGGAGTAGGGAGGGTGGGACCCCGAGTCTCCAACCTCCTTTGCTTTGGGGCCTCCCTCACCCTTCCACCTTCAAGCCCTTAACCCTCTATACCCAGGCAACATTATAGTCTTCCTATCCCAAACACACAATAACACAAATTTCCATTTTTGTTTTAGGTAACACTTATGTAGTGCTTAAGTACAGGTAGTTTTCAAAACCCTTCATGAGTAAGTAACTCATTCAATTCTTAAATATCCCTGTAAGGTGGGAGCTATCATTCCCTCTTTAACAGGAGAAGAAGCTGACATACAGACATGCCAAACCACTTAACGAGGTGGGCAGCCAGGCAGTCTGGCTGAGGAGGTGGTATTGCTAGTTACTTTTCCATGCTACTTCTCAACTCCGATAGAAATTATTACTAGTAGCTTTGGGATTTCTGGAATCTCTACTTCTTCAAAAGCCCCCAAATGTGGGATATGAGAATGTAGGTAAGTAAATACTTTCCCTCTTTTAAGGAAAATAACAATGCTACCACTTTTATCTGTTTTACTCTGAAATTAAATTCTACATTAGGGGCTTCCCTGGTGGCGCAGTGGTTGAGAGTCCACCTGCCGACGCAGGGGACATGGGTTCGTGCCCCGGTCCAGGAGGATCCTACATGCCGCGGAGCAGCTGGGCCCGTGTGCCACAACTACTGAGCCTGCGCTCTAGAGCCCGCGAGCCACAACTACCAAGCCCATGTGCCACAATTACTGAAGCCCACGCGCCTAGAGCCCGTGCTCCGCAACGAGAAGCCACCGCAGTGAGAAGCCTGCGCACAGCAACGAAGAGTAGCCCCCGCTCGCTGCAACTAGAGAAAGCCCACGCAGCAACGAAGACCCAATGCAGCCAAAAATAAGTAAAATAAATTAAAAAAAAAAGAAAAGAAAAAAGTAGTTTATTAAGTCAACATAATTCTAATCAGAATTCCAGCAGAAGTTGCTGGCAATCACCACAAAGTCATCAACAAACAAAGGGCCACAAATTGCTAAGACAATTCCAAAAAGATGGATCAAAGAGGTGGAGAACAACTCTGAAAAGAATTACAAAGTCACAGTATTTCAACATATGGTCTATAGAAACAAGCAAATAGATTCCAGAAACAGACTCATATAAATGGGAATTTACAACCTGTTAAGTTGATTGTAAGATAGAGCACGATTTTGCCAGAAAAAGATGAAGTAATAAATGGTGTTCAGAAAACTGGTTCACACCTAGAGGGATGGGATAGGGAGGGTGGGAGGGAGGCTGAAGAGGGAGGGGATATGGGAATATATGTATACATATAGCTGATTCACTTTGTTATACAGCAGAAACTAATACAACATTGTAAAGCAATTATACACCAATAAAGATGTAAAAAAAAAAAGAAAGAAAGAAAACCGGTTCACAATGTGAAGAAAAGTAAAAGCAGATCCCTACCTCATAACATATTTTTAAAATTTTACTCAAATGGATCAAAGATGGAAATATGAAAAATAAGGTAACACAAGGTTAAAATACAAACGACTGACTGAAAGATATTTGTAACACATATAAACTTGGATAGTATGCAGAAGTACTTTTATTTTATTTTATTTTTGTAAAGAGGATTCGGGGACTTCCCTGGTGGCACGGTGGTTAAGAATCTGCGTTCCAATGCAGGGGACACGGGTTCCATCCCTGGTCAGGGAACTAGATCCCACACGCATGCTGCAACTAAGAGTTCACATGCCACAACTAAGGAGCCCGTGAGCTGCAAACAAGGAGCCTGCCTGCTGCAACTAAGACCCAGAGCAACCTAAGAAAATAAAAAAAAAATTTAAATTAAAAAAATTAAAATAAAGAGGATTCAATAAAATAATTTATGTAAATACAAAGGACAGTGCCTGACACTTAGTAAGCTCTAATAAATATCTGTGACTAACCTTACCTTATAGATAATATTATTAGGAATGCTTTGATAATATGGAATTAGCTGAGTTGAACTGGGGAAAGGAGTTGTGAGAATGTTCCCTGAAGCTCAAAAGTTGACAGTCCTGGGTAGGAGGCAGGGGGTTGGAAATGAGTTAGGAAGCTATAAGTCGGGGTGCAGCATAGTGAATAAGGTGTACAGGACGAGGGTAAAGGTAGGAGCTGGGGACGCAAAGTGTGGGCATAGCAAAGAGTACGGAGCTGTGTGAAGTGGATCCTGAGGCGTGAGAGCCTAAGAAGCAGTTGGGGGCCGTGCAAGTCCCGCAAGGCTCTTCAGCTCTCAGCTTCGGAAGCCTAAGCCGCTACTTCCACGGCTCCTCGGAATGCGCTGTTCTGTCCACTTCCTTGATGGTCACCCTTCCTAACTTTCGTCCATTCCCCTCCCCATAGACAACCCCAACGACCCTCACCCGGGATAATGGGCCTCGAAGAGCCACCTCTGCCTCAGATCCTGGGCCACAAACCCATTCTCCTGCCAATTCTGCTCTCTGACCTCCGCCTTCTGACCCGAAGCGCCACTCTCCCGCTTCCCGAAGTCCGTGAATTCGTTCTGGGGCCTCAAGAAGCCGCTGTTTCCGGAAAATGACTCCCACCTAGGTAAGAAGGCATGTGCTATTGCCAGGAAAATACATTCGGTGGTTTATGTATATTTCACTCGTTACAAATCTCCTCTAGAGAGAGCGGAATTTAAACTTCCGGGTCAGCTTCCATGCATTCTAGGAAATGTAGTCCTTAGTCTCCACGCTTCACTCCTGTTGCCCAGAGTGAGGGAGCGTCGCGAAAGTAGACGGTTTAGGGACCCTTCTCTTTGGCTCTCCAAAGGGGGAAATTGGTGAAATATTTGCACTGAAAATAATACAAGGCCGATTTCTCATTTTCCAAGAACTCTCCCCCGCGGAAGGTTAGAAGTGTACGGGATCCGTCCCTCCTTGACTTTTAAGTGGGTAGCAGGTAGATGGTCTCTTAGTTCGCCTCAGGTCTCCGCCTGTCTTGGTGTCCCGCCCCCTCTGCCGGAGCCCGCACCGCCGATTGGCTAGGAGCACTTGAGCGGCGGAAGCAGCTGGCTCGCGCGGGGCCTGCGGGGAGGGGGAGAGTTGTGAAAATGGCGGCGGTGGTGGAGGTGGAGGTTGGAGCAGGTGCTGCCGGGGAACGGGAGTTGGATGAGGTAAGAAGAGTTGAGAGTCGAGGAGAGGAGAGACCGAACCTGAAACTGAAGGGAGGGGAGGGGAGGTATCGGAAGTGGGGGTCCTGGGAGAGATGGAATCCTGAGAGGGAAGGAGCCAACAGGGGACGGGTGCGGGGAGGGGGAAATCTGAGGTACCCTGGACTCCAGGACTCAGGGACTCGGAGGCGGTCGTGGGGCAGAAGACTTGCAGTAACCTCAAGGGTGGAGATGGAGGACAGGAAGAGAAGCCAGAGGAGTTGGGGTGTTAAGATTTGGGATTATTAGGTGGGGGTCCTGGGAGGATTAGAGGGCCGCCAGGTAGCTTGAGTTGGAGGGGCGTGGGCTCCTGCAAGGGAAAGCCGGGTTTTACTGAGGAAAGAGACTCTGTCTGGGTTTTCAGTGGGGCTGGGGACGCGGACCGCGGAAGAGTGCTTATCTACTAGTATTAGAGCTTCGGGTTATGTTTACGTAAGAGCTCTTTACATTCTAGAACTTTGTACATAATGTGGGCTCAGTAAAGTTCTTGTCATCGAATGATAGAACGAATGGATGCATGGACAACTGTATATCGGAATTCACTCATTCACTCACTTAACAAACAACAAGTATCCCCTTTGTGTCGAGTCCTGGGCTAAGTGCTAGGGACCTTCCCATTGAAGAGCTCACAGTATGGTGGTGGGAGACGCATAAGAAGACTAGTCATTGCATCGGAGGTATAATGGTGGGACTGAGAAGAGGGGACCAATTCATTTTGGGCTAGGGAAGGCTTCCCAGAGGAGATGAGTCTTAACAGATAAGTGATTCTCCCTCTCTCTCTCTCTCTCTCTCTGTCTTTTTCTCTTTCTCTCTCTCTCTCTCTCTCTCTCTCCCCCCCCTCCCCTCTCCTCCCACCCGCCTCCCTTCTTCCCTCCTTCTAGACTTAGAAGTTCTTTGAGAGTGAGCTCTTGAGGGTATATGTCCCCTTTACCTACATAACAGGCATTTAACAACTGGTGTATTCAATTACCAGTGGTCCTTGAAGGAAATCACTAGGAGGAAGGAGACATTGAGTTTGAAAGAATGAAGGGACAGCGCTGAGAAGCAGAGAGAGGTGAGAAAGGAAAGGGAAAAGATTCTGAGGCCAGAGGTACATTCATGGCTAGGGGTGCTTGTGGTTTTGCCCATGACAGCATATGGACAGCAGGGAGAAATAGGAGAAAGGGGATTGATTGTTGGGGATGGAACCAGTGGGATCTCTGAGGGATCAGAATCTTAGAGGCCCTGGCTGTGTGTTGGGGGTGAGGATTGGGGATGAGGCCCAGAGAAAGAGAGTAGAAGTCGACTTGAGAAGCAAAAACTGTTGTTTGGTGGTGGGATGACTTGGAGGTTTTGGTTTACCTGTTTGGGAACGTTAAGGTGGAGGGGAGGAGACTGAGAAACTGGCAGGTGGTCAGAGCAGGGAGAGATTTTTAAAGAAGCATTTTAGACCCATATCTTTCAGTCACTAAAGACCAGGGATGTTTGGATGCCACTTGGTTGGTGAGGTGTGGTAGTCGTGGAAATGACTTCCAAGACCCCTTTCAGCTTTAAGTTTCTGTGATTATGGTTGGTTGTAGTTCAATGAGATATATTTGAAAGTGCCTTGAAAAAGTAAGTACTGTATTTAAGTTATTATACATGGTTTGTTAGTCATGGGCTCTCCTTTGGGCGGGGCAGATTTCAGTTACATATATCAGGGTTCATTGAGATAAAGAGCAAAAGTTTTGGCAAAGGAGAAAAGAACTTAAAGTTTTGATGTTAAATATTTTTGATTTTTGCTTCTTAGCTTTTCTTCCCTTATTGTTTTAAGAACTTAAGAGCTTCTAGTATCATAATTATACTTCCAGAGAGTCATGTCTAGAGGTCAACTTTATATGTAACCACTAGCATTTATCCCAGAAACTTCTGTTCCTTGTTTCATTTACTGAGAAATAATATAATCTGTTGTCTGAAAATTCTGTGTGGATGGTTCTATCCTTTTCCTTGTGTGTTTAAAAAAGTAACTCTGAGAAGCAGGAACAGACATCCCTTCAAGCTCAAAAAAAAGGAGGGGTGGGCAGGGGTATGGTCTGGCAGACCTTAGTTTGTGAGTTTCTTTCGATACTTCTATCTCCCCAGCTGTTTCTTAGTAGCCTTAACTAGTGAAAGAGAAGGTGAAATCCATCCTTTAATTTGTAATTATGGGGGTCTACTGTGTTTTATGCACTGGGAATCCAAAGATGAGTAAGACAGGATCTTTACCAATTTATAGTGTAGAGAAGAGACATGCAAATGGCCCACTGCAGTACTAGATAATTGCTGTAATGGAAGTGTGTAACAGATTCAGTGGGGCACAAGAGACAAGCACTCAAGTCTGCTGGGGGATTCAGTGAAATCTTTATGATGGAGATGGGTTTGAGCTGAAAAATTAAAGGTTAGGTTTATAAAGAAGCACATGGCATCAGAGTTGCTCTCCTGTAGTACCTTCTGCTTGGTAGAGAGACTATTGTGGAGCTCAGATTATAAAAGAGTAATGGATAGCCTAGCTAAGATGCAGTAGGGTACTCCTTGCCACTTCTTTGGAAAGATTGCATGCTCTGATTTGTTCTCTAGGATATCGGGCCTGTGTTTTCCAATATCAGATGCCGTTAGCATGATAAGTAGTCTGGAATAGCAGCCATCAGTTTATTTATGTTCCTTTTGTCCGTTTCATTATTACTTTTTATAGTATTTAGTTAAGGTAATTAAGGCTTTGCTCACTGCTTCTGTTTTTGAGAGGAAAAGAGCTACCAATAGAAAAGCCTGCTGTTTATTGAGCCCTTACCATAAACCAGCCCCTGTTTAAAGCCTACATTATCTCATTACTAACAGCAGCCCTGTGAATTAGTTGGTGTTTACCGCATTTTATAAATGACACTGAGGCAAGAGAGGTTAAGTAGCATTCCTAGGATTCCACAGTTTGTGAGGGGAAGTGCAGATTCCATCCCAGGTCTGCCTGTGCTATACTGAACTAAGTTTTACACCGCCATACTATACTGAACGCCTCGGTTCCATTTCTCATGCCAGACTCATCTTACCAAAATAAACTATTTCTTAATATACAAAAGTCCCATCTCCGGGCTTCCCTGATGGCGCAGTGGTTGAGAGTCCGCCTGCCGACGCAGGGGACACGGGTTCGTGCCCGGTCCGGGAGGATCCCACATGCCGCGGAGCGGCTGGACCCGTGAGCCGTGGCCGCTGAGCCTGCGCGTCTGGAGCCTCTGCTCCGCAACGGGAGAGGCCACAACAGTGAGAGGCCCGCGTACCGCAAGAAAAAAAAAAAGTCCCATCTCCAAAATGTGAAGCAGCCTTTCATTCCTGAGAGATTCAAAGCGGGGGTTAACTAAAGGAATATTGGTTTTTCTATACGGGTCGTTTAATTTACCTATAATTTGATTCTGCTGAACCCCTGGTCACGGGGAGTGATGAGCCCAGTGGCAATTAGGGAGATGAGAGATGGGTCTAGCCAGCTCAGGCTAGGGCTAGGTATTAAACGCTGTGATGACTGGCTAAGTTCTTCAACTTGCTAAACCACAGGGTGCTTGAGAATGTTAGGGAGGATAAAGCATGGGTACCAGCTTGGAGGCCCAGAAGCAGACCTATTCCTGGAGCCAGTGAGTTCCTTCTTGAAGGGGGAACTGGCTAAGCATGAGAAGAATTGGAGGCATCATCTTGGCACAGAGAGCTGGTTTGGGACCTAAGGTGATAAAGCACTTCTACATCCAATCAGGGCCAGCCTGCCTGCCTGGCTAGTGCCTGTGAATTCCGGATGTGTCTACTCCCAGTAATTGTTCATCTGCCAAAATGATGTGATATCATGCAGAGTAGTGAGTAGTTTGCAGCTCAAGTTCAAAGCAGGTATCTCACCCTACAGCTAACTTGAGTTATTATTGCCTTTAGTGTGTAATTTGCCTCTTCTGGGCCTTGTTTTATTCTTGTTAAAAGAGGAGATTGGACTAGATTGGTTGTTTTTAAACCTTTAGTCATGAAACCCTTTATTCAAAAAAAAAAATCTCACTTTGAAGCCTTGTGGTCCTTGAAGGGACTCAGAACCCCTTGAGTATCTCAAGCCACACTTTGAAAATCAGGGAGCTTTCTCTTACTGCCAACTGATTGGGTGACCCTACTTTATGTTCCTTCAGCCCCCCTGTACTTCCTCTAACCCAGCTCTACCAAGCATTATTTTAACTGTCTGTCTTCCCCACTAGACTCTTAGCTACATGAGAGCGGAGTCCAAGTCTGTCTTGCTCATCGTTGCAGTCCCTTCACTCAGTATGGTGCCTGGCATAAAGGTGATTATTATTTTTGAGTAGTGGTAATAAGCTCCTCTCCTTAGTAGTATGTGCTTTTTTATTGAATGTTTACAGCATCCCTATGAGATTTGAACTATTGGACTAAGTCATGACTAAAGCTCTAACATACTGTGTACCATGTTTCTGATTACCGCCAGGTCTTTGTTTTTGCTGTCCTGTCTGCCTAGAGTACCTTTCCTTTCCCCCGTGTCTTTCCAAATCCCACCTGTACTTTAAGGTTCTAGCCCAGGGCTCTCTTGCTTTGTAGAACTATTCTGATTTACAATGATATCTTCTTTCCTTGTGTTTCATAGTTTTCTCTGTGTTCATTTATCAATTCATCAAACTTTTTGGAAGCACCTTCTGTATGCCAGGTACTGTGCTATGCTTGATCATACCAAGATGGGTAATGTGTGATAACTGCCTTCAAGGAGTTCACAGACTAGCCTGGGTGGAGAGAGAGTGATAAATAAGTACAAAAATGTGTCACAGGTGCTGTGTCAGTGGAATATGTGTAGTGGGTACATCAAGGAGGAAGTAGCAGTCTGTTATATTTTCTCTTCTCAGGGAGGCTGTAGAAGTTCCCATCCCTTGCTTCTTCAAAGTAGTAATCTTGGACTGTTTTGTTTTTCCTCCTGTGGGTCTCTCCCTGTAGACATTTGATAAATGTTC